AAATTCATTGCAATTCACACCATCAAAGTACCATCATCATTCTTCACAGAACTAGAAAAAACAATCCAAAAAGGAATATGAAACTGAAAAAGAGCCCACACAGTCAAAGCAAGGCTAAGCAAAAAGAGCAAATCTGGAAGCATCACATTACCTGACTTCAAACTATACTATCCAGCTATAGTCACCAAACAGCATGGTACTGGCATAAAAAATAGGCATATAGACCAATGGAACAGAATAGAGAACCCAGAAATAAAGCCAAATACTTAAAGCCAACTGATCTTTGACAAAGCAAAAAAAACCAAAGTAGGGAAAGGACACCCTTTTCAACAAATGGTGCTGGGATAATTGACAAGCCACATGTAGAAAAATGAAACTGGATCCTCATCTCTGACCTTATACAAAATTCAACTCAAGACGGATCAAAGACCTAAATCTAAGACCTGAAACCATAAAAATTTTAGAAGATAACATCTGAAAAACCCTTCTAGACATTGGCTTATGTAAAGACTTCATGACCAAGAGCCCAAAAGCAAATGCAACAAAAACAAAGACAAATAGACGGGACTTAGACTAAAAAGCTTCTGCACAGAAAAAAAAAATAGCAGAGTAAACAGACAACCCACACAGTGGGAGAAAATCTTTGCAAAGTATACATCTGACAAAGGACTAATATCCAGAATCTACAAGAATTCAAACAAATCAGTAAGAAGAAAACAAAACAAAACAAAACAAAACACTCCCATCAAAAAGTAAGCTAAGGACATGAATAGACAATTCTCAAAAGAAGATATACAAATGGCCAATAAACATATATATATATATAAAAGCTCAACATCACTAATGATCAGGGAAATGCAAATCAAAACCACAATGTATTATCACCTTACTCCTGCAAGAATGATCATAATAAAAAATCAAAAAATAATACAAGTTGGTGTGGATGTGGTGATAAGGGAACACTTTTACGCTGCTGGGGAGAATGTAAACTAGTACAAATATAATGGAAAAAAGTGTGGAAATTCCTTTAAGAACTAAAAGTAAGAACTACCATTGGATTCAGCAATCCCACTACTGGGTATCTACCCAGAGGAAAGGAAATCATATGAAAAGGATACTTGCACACACATGTTTATAGCAGCACAATTTGCAATTGCAGAAATTTGGAACCAGCCCAATGCCCACTAATCAATGAGTACATAAAGAAAATGTGGCATGTATACATCATGGAATGCTACTCAGCCATAAAAAGGAATGAAATAATGGCATTTGCAACAACCTGGACGGACTTGGAGACCATTATTCTAAGTCAAGTAACTCGGGAATGGAAAACCAAACATCATTATGTTCTCACTTACGAGTGGGAGCTAAGCTATGAGGACAGAAAGGCATTAAGAATGATACAATGAACTTTGGAGACTCGGAAGGGTGGGAGGAGGGAGAGGGATAAAATACTACATATGGGGAATAGTGTATACTGCTCATATGGGTGCACCAAAACCTCAGAAATCACCACTAAATAATTAATCTATGTAACCAAAAACCACCTGTTCCCCCCAAATCTATTGAAATTTAAAAAAAACCTGAAATAAGTAAATATATAAATACATAAATAAATACATAAAGTGAGGGAATTTGGCCAGGCGTGGTGGCTAATGCCTACAGTCCCAGTACTTTGGGAGGCCAAGGTGGGTGGATTGCCTGAACCCAGGAGTTCGAGACCAGTCTGGGCAACACGGTGTGGGGAGGATGCTTTTTTTTTATTTTGTTTTTTTGAGACGAAGTCTTCCACTGTTGCCCAGGCTGGAGTGCAGTGGCGCGATCTCGGTTCGCTGCAGTGGGAGGGTGCTTTTATGCTCTGTGGGGACTCACCACTAGCAGTTGGGAAGAGACATGCTGTATGCATTGCTGCAGATTTAAGACAGGCCCCTGGGAAGACTGAATGCCATGGGAAAGCTTCAGAGCAACTGTCTGATCTCGTATCTACTAAAAACACAAAAATTAGCCAGGTGAGGCAGGGCGCAGTGGCTCACGCCTGTAATCCCAGCACTTTGGGAGGTTGAGACAGGTGGATCACGAGGTCAGGAGTTCAAGACCAGACTGGCCAACGTGGCGAAACTCCATCTCTACTAAAATACAAAAATTAGCTGGGCGCAGTGGTGCACACCTGTAGTCCCAACTACTTGGGAGGCTGAGGCAGGAGAATCACTGGAACCCAGGAGGCAGAGGTTGCAGTGAGCCGTGATTTTGCCACTGCATTCCAGCCTGGGCAACAGAGCGAGACTCCATCTCAAAAATAATAATTAGCCAGGTGTGGTAGTGCACGCCTGTAGTCCTATCTACTTGGGGGGGCTGAGACAGGAGGATCACCTGAGCATTAGGAGGTCAAGGCTGCAGTGAGCCATGACTGTGCCACTACACTCCAGCCTGGGAATTCCAGGGCATGCTCTGTAAGCCACTCACTTTCCCCATGTGCCAATCCAGCTTTGGGACTGGGGCTTGCCCCATGTTATCCCTTCACTGCCACCTTCAGGAAAGGTGGAAGAACCTTGTTCCTAGCTGATTTCCTCTAGCAGTAGTTTACTACTGGTGTCAACTAGCTGGGGCCCACCTGGCCTGACAGCAAAGAGGCTACAACTTGCACAGACTCTGGAGGAATTGTCCCTGATGATGGAGAAAGTGTGAGCATGGCTGAGGTGTAATGTCCTGGGGCAGGTGTCCCAGATACTTTATCTCCTTCGCAAAGGGCTGCACTGGCTCCTCTGGGTGCTGCTGGCGAGTGGCGACAGCTCAGAGGAGCGGGATGAACCCTGGCCTCCGAGTCTGGGGCCCCATTCCATTTCACTGGCAGCTCTGCCACTCATCAGCCAAGCCGCCTGAGGAATGCCATGTCTTCTCCCAGGACTGTGAAACAAGAGGGCTTCGAGGCCTCACATTCTCTGAGTCTCTTAATTCCACAGAGGAAAATTTTTCATGGTTAAAAATGTCATCCAAGAACATTAAAAATAAATTCCCATTTTCTGTGGAAAAAGGCTTGAGTCTCTACCTTGTTCCTCCTCAGACCCCTTAACTCTGGTATTTTTACTCCCCTCAAAATAACCTTTTCAAAGGGCACCTGCAAACAGTTGTGTGGCCTTTCTGTGAGAAGGATGCTTTCATGCTCTGTGGGGACTCACTATTAGCACTTGACCTGACTGTGCTCACATGGGAAGAGACAGGCTGCACGCATTGCTGCAGACTTAAGACAGGCCCCTGGGAAGACTGAATGCCATGGGCAAGCCGCAGAGCAACTGTCTGATCAAGGATCACTGGCTGTCCCAAGACTCCACGCCTCCCAGAGACCTTTGGCCAAGTGTAGGGTCGCAACTCACCAAGGCGGTTTTTTTTTTTTTTTTTTTTTTTCAACGGAGAAAGTCTTTCTATGTTGCCCAGGCTGGTCTGGAACTCCTAAGCTCAAGTGATCCTCCCACCTCAGCCTCCCAAGTGGCTGGGACTACAGGTGCACACCACTGCCACTGTGCCTGGCTTTCTTCCTAACCTTTTATCATTAATAGGAATCAGAAAGAGACCTTCATGTGTTCACTTGGATACTCTGGTCAACAATCAAGAAGAGAAAAGCTGACTTTTAAAAACATATAATTTGTACAAATTTATTGAGGTCTAAATGTATGTGAGCTACTTTCCACCCTCTGTTCCAGACACGCCCTGTGATCTCCTCAATAGAGTGGCGGCAACACGTTCTTACAAGGTTGAAAGGAACAGGAAGGGATGGAACCTCAGAGCCAGACAGCCCTTTGTGAGAAAAGGGGAGGCAAGCAGTCTGGATTCTTGAAAGGAACACTGGGGATGGTCCAATCCAGGAGTAGTAGTTTCCATTTCTGGCATCAACTCCAACTGACTGATTGGGAAGCAGTTTCTTGGGACGCTTGTGCTCAGAGGAGCTCTGGGGCTGTTTCAGCACCCAGCTGGAAGGAGTGCTGCATTGGATTCCCAGGGTTGCTATCACAAATTACCATAAATGTGGCAGCTTAACATGACAGAAATTTATTCTCTTACAGTTCTGGAGACCAGAAGCCTAAAATCAAGGTTCTGGGAGAACCATGCCCTCTCCAAAGGCTCTAGGGGAGAATCTTCCCTTGCTTTCCCAGCTGCTGCTGGCTCCCAGTGTTCCTTGGCTGATGGCAGCATCCCTCCACTCTCTGCCTCTGTCTTCCCTTGGCTTCTTCCCTTTGTGCCTCTCTGTGTGTACATCTCCCTCTCTGTTCTCTTACAAAGACATTAGTCATTGAATTTAGGGCTCATCCTTAAATCCAGGATGAGTTCATCTTGAGATCCTTATCTAGTTACATCTACAAAGGCTCTATTTCTAAATCAGGTCACATTCTGAGGTTCTGGGTGGATATGCATTTTTTTGTGGTGGGGGGTGGAATTATTCAACCCAGTGAGAATGCCATGATGGTTTAGCAAGCTTGACATGGGTTCGGGGCTGTGCAGGGATAGGGCTCATGTCTTCGGCCTTCTGATCTGCCATCCCGATGTAGCTCAAGCCCACAGCTTTACAGATGATGGCGGAACTGAGGTTCAGACAATACAAATAAAAGGGTTTTGACCAGGATCATATAACTATGTAATGCTATAAGAGTCAAGAATAGAGAAAAACGAAGATAAAGAGGTGGGGTAGGCAGTTGGGATGGGGAAGTGTAGGGATGGGAGGGGATGAAGATGAATATTACTGTTTTGGTTGTGGAATAACTGAGAAGAGCATCTTTGCATTTAAAACCATTAGCCAAAGAGGATCTAGATGGGACGAGAAAATAATAACCAGCCAATTGGGGAGAAAATGTAGGAGTGTTAGAAGAATTAGTACTGCACTGGGGATCAGTTTGCAGGGGATCATCTGCTCTTTTTTAGCCAAAGGAATGAGAGCTCCTCTCACTGGGCAAAAGCCTTTCCAGGCTGGTCCCTGAAAGCATCGTGCGTACAGATGCCTGCTGGTTGCCATGGTGAATGATGCTGATCTGAAGAAATGAATAACATGAGCGTTAGGGGCAGCAGTGGGATTACTCAGTGTTGAGAGAAACAACACGGAAAGCCCAGAGTGGAGGAGGGAGAAGGCACCATTCTCTCAGCTTTAATCTACTCCACCTCGGAGGGCAGAGCTCTAACCAGACACGCTGCGAGCATCAGGTAAGAAATATAGATGGCTCTTCTTGGAAATGGAAATGACTTCTTTTTACACTCTGCTTGGAGAAGGGCTGGGCAATGGTAAATGAATAGTTAAAAATAGGGGAGAATTTAGAAATGGAAACAGAGGAAGAAAAATCAATAAGGGAGATGGACCTGGTCCTAAAAGCTGAGGATGCTATTTGCGTCTTGACAGAAATCTCTTAAAAATGTCTGCTGAGGTAATTCCATCTGTACAGACAGCTAGTGGCAGATAGGAAGCCAAGAGAACATTTGTGCGTGACAAGAAACAGGATGCCTGATTACTCCTGATGGAAGGGTTTTACACAGGTGGCTGACTATGTATCATAAGTAATGAATTAGGCTCTTTTCATTGTGGTCGAAAGTGTATTTGTAGGGGTGTGTGGGGTGGGGAAGATGAGTGTGTAGAGGACAATAAGCCAGGGAACACAAACGTTCAGTCTCCTTCATGATGACCTTCCCTGGAAGGGTCTGAGCACATCTGTCTCATCCCTTTCATTCTCCATTTATTGGGAAGAAATTTTCAGCCACATAGAAAGACACTATTCACCTTCCTGAGCATCTTAGCTCACTGTTACCCTTACAGAAGAAAAACAAGGATTGAGAAATTACTCAATGCTGTGCACCTTTCTGTAGCTCCACTCCTGGAGGAAAATGGGCACAAACACAAGAGGATGGGGGCAAGCGGAGGAGAGAGAAAGGCAGGTCATAATAGCCATTGGTTTGGCTTAATATCCAATGCAGGCGAAAATCCAGTTGACAGCTGTTTACTATGTCACTGCAACCCAAAATGAAACCTACTGGATTTCATGTGAGGGAGGAGGGACGGAGGACAAAGCAGGGTGAGACCTTTACGTGAATATACGTAGGCTGACTATGACTGTCTCTGTATTTCTGATCGGGGAAATCAGTAGAGGGGACGGCAAGAGAGAAACTAAAATACTTGAAGATGGCTCTCTCTTATCAAAGCGGGGCCTGGCAATCTGAAGAGGGCTCATTTGATTTGTCTGGAAAAACAGCAACTGGGTCTCAGTCCTGGCACCTCATTTTGCAATAACGTCTGTAACTAAACCCGGCAGCCTCGCATTAGGAAATGCAGTGGTTAGGCAGCATTGAGTCCTTTTTCTACATATTCGCGGTGTGACATCAGGTTGCTCATCCGTAAAATGGGAATCTAGCTCAGAGGATGTGATGAAGAATAAAGGAAATTAATTACTGTCTGTGAATCATCTAGCATGATCAGTGACATAGCAACCACTTACTGTGAGTGGTTATTACCATCATTAACATTCATAATACCAGCAGAGTTAAATAGTGGTAGTTATGCTGATATTAGGGGATGATTATCTTCACCTATAAAGTAAATTTCCTGGTAACGCTGGTTTTGAAAAAACAAACAAAACAGGAGAAGCTTTGGGGTGAAATCAGCTGCTAAAGAGTGACGAAGCGACTTTCCACTCACCATGGGCAACAGAACCAGGAGGCTAAAAAAAGCAGTGGGCAGAATGTTCTAGATCACTGAGTTCACAGTACTTACAGCAGAAACAGAAGGTCAGGGAGGAAAATTGAGGTCAATCAATTGCCTGAGGGGAGGTCACAGACCTGAGAATAAAGGTGGAGTCTCTGAGGTTCTACTGATTTCTCCTACTTTTTTGTCTTTTTTCTTAAGGGTATGAGAACAATGTTATTATCTGAAGGATCTTGGCTAGGGTGGGATGTGGCTGGGATTACATGGGTGCATCTCTTTTTAGGCCTGAAATTTGGCATGGGATGGCCTTGGTTTTAACTTTTGTTCAGCCACTTTTTCGCTATGCCTAAATAACAGAACATCTAGGCCTCCATTTCTTTGTCTGTAAGATGAGGGCAATATGAGAGACCGTCTCAAATGTGCAATAAATGGTGGCTATGATTATGATAAATACATACTTAAATTGGGGGATGTCACTCTTCACTTTGATTCTGGTTCTAGAATCGGGATGAACATCGAGGTGGGGAACATTTCTTATACAGGAGCCATCATCTCCTGGTCGTCCTCGGAGCCCTGCCTGGAGGACTATTACCATATTATGTATAGGCCCAACTGGAACAGCATCTTCTCTGGCTATCTTCGCTACAGCTTCCACCACGAGGAGAAGGTGCCTCGAACGATCAGCTCCGTGGTGCTGGAACATCTCGCCCCTTCCACTCTCTACTTCCTGTGCATCAGCTGTAAGAAGGCTGCCTTCCCTTACAGGCACTACTGCACCATGTTCCACACCCTGGATAAGACTCCACTGGCTCCCGGAAGCTCCCTGGTAGACCCCCAAATCTCCCTTTGGGTGCTGATGGCTATTCTGCTGGCCTGCTTCACAGCTGTCTTGGCCTTCATCTGCCTCCAGTTCTGGTGTGTCCGTTGCCATGAGCCGCGATGGTCTTACAGGGCTGGCCACATGGAGGAGGCCAATGGGTTGGTGAGATGGCCAGAGGAGGCCCCGGATCTTGGTCAGAGGGAGGAAGACCTGCAGGGGCTCCCCCTGGTGGAAGTGCCACGCAAGAACTCCAGAGATGAAGCTGAACTGAATCCTGAAGCCAACCAGGATGCCCCTGATGCGGGTGCCTTACAGAGAGGGGGTGGTGACCAACCCGCCATACTGCCTCATTGTGGGGAATGAGAGTGGGGAGGAGACAGCCCGCATCATGTAGCCTAAAGCTTTCCACACAGTAGGTCTTTTGTACAAACATGTCTATAGGCTACCCATTTCTCTCCCATCAAATGTCATTGCTATTGTGGGTCACCTGGGTTGGATGAATGCCCCATGACAAAGCTTCTCAAGCTGGAAAATGTATCCCCCAGGGTATGTCCCCCAGGGTATGCCAAGGCACCAACAGGGCATCTCTGCAGCAGCGTCCACTCGGAGGACACAGTTAAGAATTGAAATCTTTGTTTTAACATTAAAACAAACATGGATATGTTATAAAGTAGAAAGCAAAAATTTGCATGACTTAAATAAAACAGCACTTGAAGGAAATGTTTGAGTTGCGAGTACACTCTGGGAGGTACACTTTTGGGCAAAGGTGGATGTCTAGTTTCCTCTGCCCTTGAGGGGATTACTTGGAAAAGTGTGAGAACCCTTGTTCTGGAGTGTTTTCCAACTTTTAGGCAATCACACACCACCTGTCTCTGTTTTTTAAAATCATGGATTATCTTTACTATTATTAATAATACTTTTTCTCTCTTTAAATTGACTCCGTTTTTAGGTGTAAACTTATTTTCAAAGACAGCCTTATTTTAGTCCATAAGTGAAAAGCCAGCACCCTCCTGCTACAAACAGAAGGGAAGAGACGTAAGAATAAACATCATGAAAACAAGATAATATTAAATCTGACTTAGCTTCTATTGCCTGCCAGTGACTCTGAGCTTAATGCCCGCTTGCTTGTCTTTGATAAAAAGGGAGATCCAGTGTTGGAGAGGTAATAAACACATATTAGCACCAATATTTGTCTTTCCCTTGATATAGCATAAGGTTTGAAAGAGAATAGAAAAGGGAAGTGCTGTTTTTACTTTATGAGTCAGTGTTAGTTAAATGCCATGTCTGTGAACCACTTCAAATGCTGTCAGTCATCTTCCCTCGATTTGAGAAAATTGTCTTGACCAGACTAGGCGGGCTGTTCTGGAGAAGATGCCTGCACTCTCCAAGCATCATCCTAAGACTTTCCCAGTGCCCTCTTGTATCTATAGAGCACAAAATCCCAGAATCACAGGACGACACTGCAGTGAATCAACTGAGAAACAGCAGGAGCTGAGAAGCCAAGACGAGAAGCCCCACATCCCTATTTCCTTGCCTACCTCACGCATTCCCTGCTCAGCACCCAGTCGTGGAGGTCTGCTTTTGCCCCCATTCCTGCTACTTGTGAACAAATAAAGATTCATATACTCATAGCTGTTTCTGCCTGGATCTCATTGCTGCCTTTTTCCTTTCTCTTTAAAGATAACAGTCCCGCCCTGTCACCGAGGCTGGAGCGAAGTGGTACAATCATGTTCACTGTAGCATAAAACTCCTGGGCTCAAAGGATCCTCCTGCCTTAGCCTTCCAGGTAGCTGCTGGTGCATGCTGCCATGTCTGGCTAATTTTTTAATTTTTTTTCGGTGGAGACAGGGTCTCGCTATGTTGCCCAGGCTGTTCTCAAATTCCTGGTTTCAATTATCCACCGGTCTCGGACTCCTAAAGTGCTGGGATTAAAGGCAAGAGCCACTGTGCCTGACCTCATTGCTGCATTTATCTCTCCACCTTCTTACTCTTCTAATTAAGGGACACTTTTCTATGTGCTTTTTCTCACCAACCCTCTTTTAGGCAGGGTAGGGCAGGACTACTTACCTTGGATCCATAAAGGTAATAAGGCTGGACGTTGGCAGGTTTGTCTCGTTGTGGTTCTTGGGTGAAAGGAATGGCAGTCCGCACAAAACTAGTAGAAGCAAAGGGAGGGGAAAGAGTTAATATGGTGCTAACATTATTCTTCATGGGACACAGATAACAGGAGTGCTTCCTGGCCAGGTGAAGGTTTGCATTGGTACAAGTGCACTGTTAGGTGGTTGACTATAAAGGTACTAAACTCTTCTGACATCTTCCTATTTAACTTCCCATTCAACTCCTTTCCACAGATGGGAAAACTTCAGTCTAGATTCCTGGGCTCAACCAGGAGCTTGTGGCTGCTCAGAATGACACTAGGCAAGAATAAGAGAGGGCTGGGCTTGAACATGGCTTTCTCTGGGGCTCCACTCCTCTACCTTCAGTTTGGTTTCTCAAGAGCAGAGTTCAGCAAACTCTTTCTCAGAAGAGCCAGGCAGCAAATATTTTTAACTTTGGAAGCCACATGGTCTCTGTTGCAAGTACTCAACTCTGCTGTTGCAGCATGGAAGCACCCACAGACAATAATAAACAAACGGCATGACCGAGTTCCAATAAAACTTTATCAATTACAAATCATTTTCACTTGTCACCAAGTATTATTCTTCTTTGGATTTCTTCCCCTCAACCACCCAAAAGTATGAATACTATTCTCAGCTCATGGGCTTTACAAAAACAGTCAGCAACTAGATGTAGTCTGTGAGCCACAGTTTGCTGCTCCCTGCTCAAGAGTGTTAAAACTTCTATATCTTTATAGAACTGGATATCTATCTCGCTTAGTGTGTGGATTCAGGTACATTTGTGGATATCTCCCATACCCTTCCATTCATTCAACACATACTCATTTAATACTGGCCCTGAGCCAAGGCTTGGAGATACCTAGAAGAACTGCAGATTAATACATCTTTTTGCATCCTTACATACTTATTTTGTATGTGAATATACATGCCTTACCTCTTCCACCAGGTTATGAAACTTTCCAGGGATAAAGAAATTAGGTCTTGGCTCTACCTCAGTGCCTGGCCCAGGGCTGTGTGCACCCTGCAGGAGGCAAGTTCCACTTTGTCATGTGTATTTGTGCTCTGCAAATGTACGCCGTTTTGCATGCATGCTTTCAGATATGTGGATATCCTTACAAACATACAATCTGGTCATGTCATCTCCTTTCCTCAAACTCTTTCAGGGTTAATAAAAATGCACGATCCTGCCCTGGCCTCTAAAGTACTGCACAATCTGTTCCTGTGTTATCTTTCATGGCACCATTTCCCACCCGACTAGTTTTACCCTCATCAACCTCTTGGAGAAACCCTTAGAAACTTGTCTGGAATATTCTTCTCCTGCCTTTTTGCCCTTATTTATTCCTACTCATCCTTTGCATCTTAACTCCAGCATTACTTCCTCAAAGAGGCAGCCTCCCTTGAGGTTTGCATGACTTTTTAGACTGGAACAGGTGGTGCTGTTACCTCTGCCATGGCCCTGTGGACTTTCCTTCATCTCCTTATTCACTATTTGTAATGGTACATTTGTCGTGTGATTATTTGACCACCTACATCCTCCTCTAGTCTGAAGACTCAAGAGACAGGAAGGTATCTGCTCACCATGGCATGCCCCACGTTTTACTGGAGCAGCAGAACACCCAAATGGGCAACTTCAGAGTAGTAGTAGAAAGAGCTCTTCAATGAAAGAAGACCTAATTGTTAACAACATTCAACTGTCAATCAGCTCTGCGACCTCAGACAAGTGACAAAGCACAGAGCCTGTGCCCAGGAGGGGGTCTGAGAGACTACTGTTGCAGGAACCACTCACATGTGTACCGGGCCTAGTTTGGAGGAGGCAGCTGGTCACTCCCCCAACCCCCACCCGGCCCCCTCTGCACAGGGATTCCCTTACCGGTTTGTGGACCCATTGTAGCAGTAGTTGGGGAGAAAGTCAAAGTTCAGTTCCCAGAAGACATGCAGGGTGATACGGCCATAGGGGGCGGACACATTGTGATTGGCCTCCCGGAACATGGCGTCAAAGCTGTCCAGCGTCATGTGCTTACAGAGCAGCCGGTGCGTGAGCCGGTTAATCTCCAGCAGCCACTCCAGCTCCTGTCCAGAGAAAGAACCCACAACTTCTGAGGAATTGCTTGTAAGGATTACATGTGTGCTTTATCTTACTGCTTCTGTTCATGCAAGTGACAGCTGCTCAGACAACCTCCTGACCATCTACATGGCAACCAGGACCCCTGCAGTAGCAAGTGACAAGGTTCCCTTCTTCTGAGAAGTGGAAGGATTGTCAGACTACGCTGAGAGAGATGGAGGCCCAGAGGGTTAAGGGCAAGGTTGGGGAAAGGAGGCTGCATGGCTATCCCGTGGAAGGAGACCACGGACCATGTGCAAATCCCCTTTGGGTAGAGAACAAGCTTACTAGATTTCCAGTTTCTATATCGATGAGAAAAAAGCAATACTAAGAGCTACCACTCATTAAGGGTTTACTATCAGGTTGAACCCTATGACGTTACTGGTTTTTTAGGTTACTGGCAATTTGGTCTGGTTCAACCAAATCAGTATGTGCCAGTTTTATATGCGTCAACTCATTTAATGCTTATCAAACTCTATGAGGTCAGTATTGCTGCTGTTCTTATTTTACATGTATGGAAATCGAGGCTTTGAGAAATAAAGTAACTTGGCTTCAAATCCAGGAAACTGGGCTCCAAAGTGCACATTCTTAACCACTATATACTCTAGCTGCTATAGAAATTCTAAAAAAAGGTGGGAGCAGAATGCCTCATCCTTTGGAGTGTAGGCCCCTTGAGGTATCACATGGGGTCGGCAAAGGTGTGGCTACAAGCCATGGGCAAGCAGTCTGCAGTCAGCACATGATGACCGGGATCTATGCGCACTGTGGGCCCTGAACAAAGGAATCCCATCTTCAGGCAAAGTGGGACACAGTAACATTGAATCCCAGTAGGACACGGCATTTGCTGGGAAATGAAAGAAAAGTGTAACTCTTCCAACATACTTTGGTCCCTCATTGTCCTGCAACTTCCCGCCATTGCTATCAAAAGGAACCAAAGTACAGCCTTGTGTAGAGACAGAAAGCACCTTAGGCCACTCCTGTGTTGTTTTGGTTAAGCCATCTTTTAAGATCGGTACAATGGTCTCTCATTCAGAGAGGGGAAATGGAGGCCCTGAAGGTTAAGCAACTTGCCCAAGGTCACCACAATAGGCCTTAGGATGTGAATCCAAGTCTCCTTATTCCAAATCATGTGTTCTTGGCTCCTGTGATACAGTTCCCCAGAATAAGGATGCAAGAGCTGTGAAAATTCTTTCAAAGACAAAGATAGCTTTACAACATAAAGGCTAAAAGAACATCAGCAAGGCCAATTCATCAGAGCATGACCAGGTGGGATGACCATGGGGTCTGCTGTAATGGCTGGAATATGTCCACAGGAGGCAGCCTCATGCCAGGGATTCAATTTCATTCTCATTAGCCACAAAGACCTCCAGATGGAGACCAGAGTATGGTCAGGTGGAGATCCCAGGCTAGGCTTCCAATTTTTGGAGCTCTGCCTCTCTGAAACTCAGATTTTGTGACTCTAAATTGAAGTGGGCAGAAATGGTTGAAGGCTTGCAAACATACACAGCTAAAGAGACCAGACAGGTCAGGTAAGTGAGATCAACTGGGGTGAACAGAAAGTTTGGGGAGTGAGTCCGTCTATGGCACATTGGAGGGCCCTGCCCAGGTAAAGGTGGAGCTACTACTTCTGATACCCTGTCTGACTGCTGCCGTGCTGGAGTAGGGGATTAGTGATGGCAAATCCTGCAATTTTTCAAAAGAAGGTCAGAATTTCAATTCTGGAACAGCATCGGCAGAATAAGTTTCCAGTCATTGTGTACCATGAAGTAAATGAAGGGCAGAAATACAGAATCAGCTTCTCTCCTGGGGGCCTGGCTAGCTGGAATATGTCTTTATTCTGATTCACTTAGGATGGGTACTAAAGAAATAAAAAATACATGGAGTAAGCACTACTCAATTTATTTCTAAGATCGCTGAGTCCCCTGGCACACTGCAGTGCCTGTTACTGGGAAGACAACTGAGAAGCTGTGGAACAATATTCTGCATTATCGTTCTGTGACTTTAGCAGTCTTATAACACACATCCGTGTTCACAAGGGAGACCGAAGGAGAGGCAGATCCACTGAACCACAGGTCCACTTCTCCCTGCACATTATGTAACTCAGATGATGTTTCTGCAACACATTTTGGATTTGTTCTTCTGGCCTTGAAACCAGAAGAGGGCATGTGCCAGCTGGATGCAGGGCTCAATGCACCAAAGCGTGGAAAAGGCTTAAAAAGCCATGTGGGCAGTTTAGGGGTCTCCTAAGAGGATGACAGTTTTCCATAGTAAGGCTGATTTACTAAAGGGCAACACAGAGAAACAGAACCGGGGCAGTAGAACACCCAAATGGGCAACTTCAGAGTAGTGGGAGAAAGAGCTCTTCAGTGAAAGAAGACCTGACTGTTAACCACATTCAACTGGCAACCAGC